ACATGGATGTATCCAGCTGCTAAACAATATAAGAGTGAGGTTCACTACGTACCAAATCTCTCATCCTTGAGACTGATGTGCCGAAATTGTTTTTACAGTTCATCTGCATGATTTGGGGTATTATGAGGAAAAAACAACAACACTGGTGCTATTTTTTTGGGCATCATCTTGGATATCTCCCAGCCATCTTAGCTTTTGTATCTGAAAACACCAATTTTACTACTTACTATTATTTTATCAAAATACATGGTATTAAAATTGGAAATACACAAGAAAAAGTGGTATTATTAATTTATATCACGAAGTTCCTTTCCTTGTGGTTATCAGCATATACCTAGATCACGCGCACCTACAGTGATTTACTTGCATATATATATATATATATATATATATATATATATATATATATATATATATATATATATATATATATATATATATATATATATATATATATATATATATATATATATATATATATATATATATACACACACACACACACACACACACACACACACAGTGAACCCTCACTTTACGCGGTCAATTGAACCCACGGCGGCACGTGTAAAGCGAGAAACGCGTAAAGTGAACAACATAACATATGGGATTAATTGAAATAGAGACCGGGCCGACCCCCAAACTCCACTTTTTCCCGACACAATACGTACGTTTTAGTAAAAATAACATCTTAACTTTATGATGGTATGCACACACACATAATATAGAAGGGAACAATCAATAAGAGAATAATATACTGTAGGTTAGGCTAGAAAAAAACAAGGTTAGGGTTAACACTTACGTTAGTAGAAGAGATGGGTCGGCGTACGGGAATGGAGGCTGGTTCCGAGGCAGAGGTCAGGCTACTGGCCCTCAGGTGAGTCTTCATCACTGTCATCCACACTTATTAGTGCCTCCCTGACAAATCCCTCAAAGTCACCATCACCATCTCTGCCACTATCACTGGCTTGGGCTTGATCATAGAAGCACCTGTAGACTTTGTGATGTTCATGTGCACCTTTATCTTGGCTGCATCCTTCTTAATTGTCCGGATCGTAGATTCGTTAACACCATGCTGGCGCACGAGATCAACCTGTCTTGTTCCTTTCTCCAACTCTTGGATGATCTTGTATTTAATTTCGTAGCTTAGGGAACGTCGTATCTTCTTTAGCTTAGGGCGGCTGGGTCCAGGTAATGCAAAGTTTCTTTGTGGTGGTGGTGGTGGTGGTGGTGGTCCGGTGGAAGCCATTCTTATGGAACAATGGATACCGATATACACGGTGTAGCCGGGAGGGGTGTAACTGACGCGGGTAGGTCAAGGGGCTTGAACGCTCCCGCGGCGGGGCAAGTCATAGTACATTAAAATCACAGCTAGCGGGGGAGGGAGGTAAGGATGCTTGGCCCAATCACAGTCCGATACGTCATATGACGTCACCGATAACGCAACAAAGACATACACTGCGCAACCTACTCGCGTCGCTTACCCAACATGGCAAGATGGCGGGAAGTTTGAATCCAAAAATGGCACGGCGCGAGAGGACCGCCAGGAGCTCTCCGCGTAAAAGGGTACACGTGCCGCATAAAGTGAGCATTTCGTGTTAGGCAGGGTACCGCGTAAACGTGGAAACGCGTAAAGCGGGGTGTGTGTGTGTGTGTGTATATATATATATATATACAGTGACCCCTCGTTTAACGAACACCTCGGTTAACGTAATTTCGATTAACGAACTGCCTTCCATAAGGATCTTCAATTCGTTTAACGAAAAAAATTTCGCTTAACGAACTTCTTACGAACCGACCTCAACATGTTTTCGCTTGCACTGACCGGGCAACCAGCTTTAGTATCAGTCCGCCAATACATTAATCGGTTCTAGGGCTTAAATTCCTTACTATTTTTGTAAATATCAAGAAGTTTATACTATTCAATAATTTTAAAAGTTTAATATTCAATTTTTAGTCATTTTAACAATTATTGAACAAAATTGAAGGTAAAGTGACTAGTTTAATGCGCGGCATCCAGCCTCTTAACACAGCAAACAGGCGTCAGTCTCTCTCTGTTTTCACTGGAGGTAACATCTTGCTTGAGACTCTCTTCAACTAAACGCTTTTTTTCTGTGTTTCCAAGCAAATTATTGGTCATTTTGAAATATATTTTATATATTGACAATATATAATGCAGTGCAGCGTTGATTTAAAGAAAATAATCTTGAATTAAACCAGAGAGCTAAAATTTTATGGGTGAAATGGCACCATGGGGTGACTTCTCTTCCACCCCAATGCCTTCTCTTCTTCCTTCTCCTCCACCCCCATTCTAAATCCCATCATCATCATCATCATCCAGGAGCCTTCTACATACACACCTCAAAGTAAGTGAACTTTTCTACCATTTTTGTTGAATTTAGGAAATTTTCGGTGAGCTGGAACCAATTACCCAAAAACCCATTGAAACAATGGTTTCGGTTAACGAACGTTTCGGTTAACGAACGACCTTCTGGAATTGAGTTCGTTAACGAGAGCCTACATATATATATATATATATATATATATATATATATATATATATATATATATATATATATATATTATATATATATATATATATATATATATATATATATATATATATATATATATATATATATATATATATATATATATATATATATATATATATATATATATATATATATATATATATATATATATATATATATATATATATATATATATATATATATCTATCAGCCTCAGATATCTAAAAGAAAGATAAAATACAAATTGTACATGTGTCAAGTCATACAGGATTTTCTTTAACGATGCCCTGAAATGTGTCGGAGCTTCACCATCAGTGCCATTGATAAGTGTCTATTTTATATTACAAAGTTAGTTTATTTCATAAGCACCAAATTTATATATTCTTTTATTTGAGTACAGAATATGGTTTAGGTTTCTAGGTTTCTATAATTAAATTTTGATATGGATTACGTATTGTCAGCACCATCAGAGTAATAGTTATGACATAATAGAGACTATTAAAGTATCTAATCTGATGCTTACCTACAGTATAATAATTTCTACACTTGAAGTACAACATACAGTACATCAATTAACATCACGATTATTTTCCATATTCTGACCTCGAATATGTGATTAAAACCTACTATCCTATTAATGTTCAATAAAATTGATTCCTAGTGACTTGTCAATTAATGTTGTGTTTTTTAATTATATTTTCAAGATGGCCACCAAATATTAGCTGGTGGCAAAAAATAAAAATAATATATAAATAAATAAATAAAGCACCAGTGTTTTTTTCTTCAAAATACACTAAATCATGTAAATAAATTATAAAAACAATTTCAGTGCACCAGTCTCACAGAATTATACAGTGAACCTCACTACAAGTCCTAAAAACAATGGATTTTCTGCTTTGGGATGCTTGGCAGTGGTAAATGTTTTTGGTTACTCATCTGTGACCCATAGGCCATAAAACAAACATTTTTGTCAATTTAAATGGTTAAGTTGACAGTGTTCAGATGACTGTCTTACTAAAAGATTCTACCATTGAAGTACCTGATGACATTAGTGGAACTATTTCAATGTTGGCATTTAATGCTTACCTCATAGTGAAATTTAATGGTGGGTCACACTATCTCTTTCAGTCAGCTAATATATGAATACATGTGGTAAAAGTGATTCAATTGAGATTTTTAATTAAGGTGACATTTGCTGTCAACATTATGAAAACACTGTCTACAAGGGTATTTTACTGTAACAGGAAGCCTGTTTGCTTTGGTTGAGACTGGGTATTTACAGACACAAATGCACAGCACCAGTACAGTATGTCATATCTACTTTTGTATTTGAACAAAACTATAGCATATATTAAATTTTTCACATTTTTACCACGAAGTAGAGTTTTATAAAGTAATGGAGATGATATAAATTAAATAACCAAAACCAAAATGTTTTACAGTATAACAGACCAGAGGTTTTCAGTTCAAAATTGGTACTAATTCAAGTTGTTTGGGATGCATTGATGAGTAATGGAAGGTAATTAGTATTAGCAATCAAAACAATATCCTGCCAACCATTCCCTTATTCAATTAGGAACTATTTTTTCCCAATATCTTAATTAAATAAGTTTTATGTAGAATATAATGCTCCCTGCACATATAGATTTAAAAACAAGCATAAGTAGTCTAAATATACTGGAGACAGCAGGTACAGTCAACAGCAGAAATTTGTTTTGAACCAACCTGGATGATATGAGGCAGGTGATCTGGTAACATTGTATGGGGAAGAGTTAGTTCAGGACAAATTTCTGATGTTGACTTACAATGACTGTGCAACTATAATTATTTTTTTAATAATATCCAAAATAAGCACCGCCCCTCATTCGAGTTTTGGCTTGTGATTGGTTGGACCTATATGCCTACATTCTCATGATTTCTAAGTTAAAATGATCATCCACTTGTCCCTCAAGAGCTAAGTCAATTGGAGGACAAGCGATGCAACTCCTGGGAGATTAATGTTTAGCCTAGCAAGTCTCTCTCCACACTGAGATAGAGAACTGCTCACTCAACCAAATTACAGTATAACCAGAATTATCCTGCTTAATCATTTGTGGACTAGGCTAACAGTAACAGAAGTACTGTACTATGTGTATGTAGACTACAGTACATGCATAGTAGGCCAAATGTCAAAATAGGGTTTAAACAAATGGTACAACTTGGCCATTCAATGGACGTAAGTGATCTCTGACTTCGTTTGTTTGTTACAATGTCTTTTTAATTTTTACATTAGGTTGGTTTCAAAAAAGTCTTAACAGATGTCTCCTAATAAAAAACAGATATACATAATCGTATTCATAAAACACCAAAAGTAGCCTGAAAAGAAAAAAGTGGGCCTGCTCAGTGACAGTTATGTCATGACATGTGTAAGTTAATAGTGAAATTTTGATCTATTTATAGCTCCTGGTTTATCAATATACGAAAGGGAAAATTTTCTTTCTTTATTATGATTATACAATACATTTTATGAATTTAAAAATTATTAGTTGAAGTTTTTGTCAGAATTGAAAAATCTTGAAAATTTCTCTTGTAGCAGCATTAGGCATCTAAACTCTCCTAAGACAAATTGTCCCACTGAATGTAATGGATACCAATCAATGCTTATCTTTCCTTATTTTTATAACAAATCTAACTGCTAATTAAGATAAATCAGGTAAAATTGGTAAAAACATATGCTACTTTTTGGATGATGTACTTTTAGTAAGCTACAGTGTATCAACCCAATTTACATACTCGTACCTGTAATTATAATTTCGATATACTGAAAGTACAGTGCTACTGTATCTGTCATCTTGTTGATTACGTGATAGTCCAGAAAATTCCTAACGTAAATGCCACTGCATGACTTTTCATGCAAATCCCTCTTGCCAGCTTCAGTTCTGAATTTTATTTAAACGATTACTGTAATATTACAGGGGGCATTATGAAATAAAAGTACATTTTTATTCATTCATTTGATAGCTACATTATCTGGCATGATGATGATACATTAACAAAATCATTTTTGCAAAACTTCAATAAGAAAACTTATAGACAATGAAAAAGTTCTAGATTTACTGAAATTTGCTTCCACTGGGCACACTATCACATCATCCAATCCAAAAAATGACACGTCGTATAGGTAGGCAGTGCTTACAGTAAAACCTCCATATAACGGACTTATCTCTCCACATAATCTGTTAGAGGGAGTTTCACATCAAATGGACCCTTGATGTTACAGAATTTTCTCTCCATATAGTCCATTAATAAAGGTTTCACTGTATTTTAGATATCAATATAAAAAACAAGCTATACTGTAGAGACAACTGATGTGCATAGACCACAAAGTAGCTTCAGGTTTGCTTAAGTGAAATCTTGATGCAGTCACACAAAACTGAATATGAAAGTTGAAGATATGAGTATTTATATTTGTTTCCAAAGCCCTATCCAGCTGTTTTCTACACTTGTCTTTCACCATTCTTCCCTTATACTTCCCTATTTCTTTGAAGTTTATCTACCCTTGATCCACTCCACACAAAAGTGAAGGGGGAGGGAACAAAGATTATATATACAGATAGAAAAGAAGAAATTAACATAAAATAAATTATCCATTACAATACTGCATGTTTATACTGATATCTGGTCCAAATACCTGTAGTAAATAAGCTCCATTTGCCTGTCAACACTGATGGGATGTAAAAATTCATTTATTGAACGTCACTGCTTACAGCTGTAACATTAATAATGTAAGCTAACCAAATATCATACTTTAGAACACTTTGTACGTCACTAATTTGTTTTTATTTGCTTTCAAAATATGAGTGAAAAGTGGAATGTTTCCTTATCACTTTGAAATATCACTTGACAAAGGATAGAAATGAAGGATTGTCAGACACATCTTGGACAAAACTTCTGTCTCAGATCTTGTCAAGCATATTCATAAATATAAAATAATATTTCTGATCAAATATATACAATAACAAATACAGTAACTGAGTTTGACAAAACTCACATCTATCTGTACTGAAATTCTTAAATATAGACACAAAATGCACTGTAGAAATTCATATTTCAAATTATATTTCAATCTAATGAGTGAAATTACAGGTATTTTTATTATTTTTTTTATTTCTACAACCTATAATTGAGAAAATGATGACTTTCTATCATGTCTTTTCTGGTAGTTATATCACCGTTCAGTTCTGTTTTTTCTTGTGTGGGGAACATTTCTAGCAGCAATTCGTGCAGATCCTGTATGTAAAGATCTGAAAGACAAAGTAAAGACAGTGAAATGATTGAGTTTATATATATATATATATATATATATATATATATATATATATATATATATATATATATATATATATATATATATATATATATATATATATATATATATATATATATATATATATATATATATATATATATATATATATATATATATATATATATATATATATATATATATATATATATATATATATATATATATATATATATCGGTAAATCTCTTATCCCTCGAAGAGCTCTTGCACCAAATATTCCGACTAATGGGGGTATCACTAGAAGCATCAAGAGGGACTGGAATGCCTATGGAAAACTACAGTATAGTGATAACAAATAATGGAGGACTATAAATATGAATATTCGTTTACCTTAGCAGAGGAGGTATCTGTTTTTGATTAGAGAGAACAGATTCAATAATGCCCTCAAGGAGAACATACACAAGCCTCTTGTTAAGGGAGGTCCACTGCACGGTATCATATACACCAAGGACACCCCGGGCTGTTGTTTGGCTCCCTAATATTGCCTTCAGTTCATCTAAAAAAAAAAAAAAAAAGATACATTATTAGTTTTCCTTATACTACTGTACGTACTATATTCTTTGTAAAATCTTACTAAGATTATCAAATGTATTCATCAGTATACTGAGAATGATTATGAATAACAATAGAAAATTAAACTCTGACTTTACAAGTAGATAAAGAGACTGGACTTGAGAGATGAATATTGTAAAACACAGGTTACCCTCGGTTTCACTGGGTTCAAAATGACCAGACTCAAAAGTACAATCCACAGATTTCTCTTTGACCCAAATTTTGCTTGTACCAAACAGAAGTTCACATGTATACTGTAAAGATACACATCACATTTTTTATTTTTCTTGCATGTAGCACATCTCATGCAACAGAACAGCTAGAGCTTATTGTGTATAACCATTTGTTTAAATAGATGACTAAATTCTGTCTTTTGTATAATGTTCCCCCCAAAACATCCTTCAAGTTCTTTTACAAATAATGCATCCCTCATGAAGAATTATATTCCTAAGATATTTATATTAGAACTTAGTTGGAAATATTGAGTAGTTTTGGAAATAAAGAAACAGCTGCAGCTTCTGGCAGGGCATACCAAGTGAATGAGTCATGCATATTGAAATTGTATTTATGTTCTAAGAAGGGCCAGAATATTAAACCTGGGGATTTTTCATACAGTCAATGCCAGTCTTTAGTTTTACTTAATTCATGGTCAGTTCCAGGGGCATATAGCATGGCACGTCTTACATCATGATTGGATTTCTAATACAATAATTAGCTGGTTCATAATAAAATTACCGCAATTACGTGAGGGAAGATGGAGCAAATAGGAAACAACTGACTTGGAATAACAAGGGTTGTCCGACTTTTTGTTTACAGTATAGTATTTACAAATTGGACCATTTATAAGAACATAATTTTGGCAGTATAATATTTGTGACTAGTAATATTGTAACAAAATTTGCATATAATTTCATCTTAAGCAAGTCTATCAACATTATAATCTTTCCTCTGAAAAATACATCAACACCTTGTAATGTGTGGGCTCTATATTTTCTCGATATCCGAGTCCAGTACAGTATTTACTTTTTTATACAAACTTAAATTTAACATGTAATAACTAGTACTGTTATCAAAATATAGAATGTTATTCAATAATTACAACACTGGACACTGTGAATATGCCCAACATCATCATGCTTTTCCTCTCTTTATGGCCCAGAATCTTTTTCAAGATTTTATGAGATAACAATCAAATCAACTTCTTTTTCAAGCCTCTGTCGCAATCACAGCCACAGTCACAACCCTCGACCTCTGGGGTCTCCAGCCACATAGGACCCTCTTTGACACCTCTACAGTCTCACTCTAATGCTTCACCATTGTTAAGGCTAGGACAAAGGCTACACCTCCAGACCCCACTCTATCTCTAGCTTCTTCAGACTCCCCAGAGGCTGTGTGGGATTCAGATTGATGTCTCCACTCCACCTTTCAGAATCCCCTTAGCCTTGAAGGGGACATGTGATGATGACCAGACTTATTCATAATGATGTGGTGAGTGTTGTTTAATTGTGTTGCAGTGCTAGTAGTATTCTAGGATTTAATTTTGATTTTTGATGATACATGTGGGTGTCCAACTGGCCAGGAACCTATCCCATTGAACCCTATGCTATAATATTTCCAGTCTACAATATTTTGACCTGTTAGGGGTTTTTTAAGAACCTACTCCCATCATAAATAGGGCAATACCTGTACAGTGTATATTATTTTATGTGCAAAGAATAGCTTCCTCTACACTCAAACCATTCTCTAGGCAACATGACACAGTTCAACTGCTCAGCCTGGCATTCACCAAGGATAGGCAGAGCCCCCCACGCATCCTGTGTGGGTTGCACATGCCATTCCAAGATTGCATCATCATATCTCAGAATTGTGTGTTATTCAACATCAACTTTTCACAGCAGTGACAATGCACGAAAAATATTCGGGTAGTGGTCATTGTAAAACTGATCTTAACCATCGCCTAGAGGTAAATGGTGTTAATTTTATAACATTGTAAAACTGATTGATTGTATATGTAGATCCATTTTATAATGGTCAACACATGTACTGTATATAACATATTTTGGTATAAAATATAGAAGTTTGGTCTAAAGAGGTAATACTGTATGCAGTATACACTTTTTTCCTTGCTGTAAATTTTTCCACTCAAGGCCAGATTTGCAGGACCTTGAACAGCTAAAATAATTGGAGGGAGCCGGGACCTAAGAGTGTTAAGCTTTAAAAAAAACCTGTGATCATCAATTTCACCATAGCTTGATGATACAAAATAATTGGTTGGCCATTTTTATCAAGTGAACAGGAGCAATAGCCAAGCCTATTATGACTATTATAGCTTCATACCATATAAAGTTTTTGCATCATTCCACATATTCATCATCAACATGCAAATTTTACCTTTATTCTTTACTGCTCGAATAGTAAAATTAGAATAAGGGTGGTGGATGTGAGTGTAGGTTAGGTAGAGGGTCCAAGGGTATACCCCTCTTATGAAAACAGGTAATAAGTACAGTCTGCATAATGGTATAGTTTTGTGAATTTTGAGGGAAAGATATGCAACAGTTATTAGTTTAGTCAAACTTTTTTGTAGTTTCCATTTTTTTTTCACGAAGATGGATTATGACAGCATATTTGGATTGTTCTCTTCTATTTCTTGCCTTAATTTTAGGGTTTGTAAAAGTGCATTTCATCTTGTTAAATAGGGGACAGTTATATGATCTTGATTTAACATGACATAAGCCAACCCATTATAAAGAATACAATGGGGATGATAATTTCATTTTGAGGTGACAAGGGGGATGCCAACCCCTTCAATTTGATCCCTGTACAGCATCTGAAAACTGCTTAGTTGACTCCCCTTTCTTAAAGTGTCAACTACTACTGACTCATATTGTATGGTTCTTACCTGTTCAACATACATATTTGTTTATCAAATTTTTTTTTTCAATATTTTCAGTACGTAATTTAAAAATTTTCATCATGAATTTTGTGAGGAAAATTCAAACTTTGGCATTTTTTTATGGATTTAAGAAAGGTTGGATAGTAGGTGAAATCGAAATGAACTATCCCATTTTGTGGAGTCCAGGTAACTGATAGATTCAACTAACTGGCACCGAAATGATATACCTGTAACAATAAAAATGAAAATTCCTCTAAAATCAGCTATAATTGTAAGTTTGAATATTGTGCACAACAGGGATGAGCTGCCATATTTATTGCTATGATAAACAATAAAATTGATACATAGCATATCATAAAATACAATAACACACATTTTAAGTACACAAAATAGATCCTTCCACACTGAACCATCATCTGAGCAACAGGACACAGCTCAGGCAGGCATTCACCCAGGCCCAGCTGACTTAAAGATGTGTGTCTACTGAGCTGGCTAGGTGTATGCCATGATGTCACATCGGGAGGGAACGTGGCCATGTATTTATAACTCTGTAACCCACCACCTCCAAACACATTCACTTCTAACACATACACACCCAGGCTCTTAATTTTTCCATATTATATAGATTTATATTATACTTTCTTTATTTCTAAGCAACATTAGAGTACAGTACTGTAATGATTTTTCCACACCTTTTAGTTTCATTACATGTAGCAATAAATGCAGTGGCTGGGCTGGCTAATCAGTATGCAGTTATAGCCCACCACCTCTACACACATTCAGTTCCCACACATACACACCCATGCTCTTCATTTTTCTTATTTTTTAGTTTTATATTATATTTTCTTTACTTCAAAGCCACATCATTTATAGAGTAGAATAAGTGCAAAAATAGTCCGTCTGAGACACGAATTTGCGAGGTCAGCCTGTAGCACTGTGCATTGTAGGATTTATTGGGGGATCCTAAGACTGAGGTTCAACTACCGGGTAACTGGAAAATCTGTTTATCCGGCACCACTCAATCCCTGTAGGCGCTGGACTGTATTTATATGAAAAACTATAAATGTGTGAGGCATCATAAATATGGTGTGAAGACAACACAGTATTGTACATGGAACATCCTAATCTTGATATAAAAAAGTATTTAGTTTAATATAGTTTAGTTTACATAAGACACAAGAAACATACCTGATATACTTGCTAACATACAAGTTCTGGCAGCAACTCTGGTTCTCATCTTGATATTGCTGTCTCTCTCAGTTGAAGGAGTAGCTAGAGTACCATTAGGCCAAAAAGATTCCCTGCAAGTAAAAAAGAAACTGAATACATACCCATCAAGCTCAATGAAGGATTGATCTTGAAATTTCATTTTATGACCATGCTGGAGTAGGTCACCCATGTATTATTACACAAAGTCTATGAGATTAATACCCAAATAAATCTAAACAATGGCAGCTGGAAACAACTCTTAGAACTGATCATGCCACCTAGATAACAGAACTCATCAACACAGTCCAGGGACATATTTCCAATGTTAAGTTCCCTAGCCTTGCTACAGGCAAATGGTTACCTGTACATACAGGGTACTTAAAGGCAGGAAAATCTTGCACTCTGCTATCTACTCCACTACACCTATTAAAGTACCAATCTTCCACATTCATTGCACTTAATTAATTTCGGCCAACACCTTTCTTACAGACAGCACATGGCCATTTTCCATTTTCCACCATGGGTCCCTCACTCACACTACTCACCATTAATTTTGTTTAGCCACATTCACTCTCAGGCTCTTTGCCTCTATTCCATCCTCCCATTTCTTAAATTTCTCCACTGCCTCTTCAATACTATCAGCTATCAGCACTAGTCATTAGCATACAACAACTCTCAGAGCAGGCCAGTCTGAAAGTTCCATGATATTGCTTCCAACACCACAATAAAGAGTAGAGAGGCTCATGACAGACCCCTGATAGAACTCTATTTTCACCTCAAATTCCACTTTCCTCACCATTTACTCTCACAAAGGTTTTTAAGCCGTTCATCCTCCACAGCCATGTAAACCTCTTTTCTGGCCCATTGCTTGGCCTCCAGATACTCCTTGTCACCACCCATCTCATACAATCTTCTTTTCTCCTCTATCTGTCTACTTCAACAATCCACCACTATGTTACTGCATGCCTGGCTGGGTCCTTCATCCAGTCACACATCTTGTCAACTGAGTTTAGCATAGCAAACTTTATTTTGGCCCAGCATCTCACAAGATTACCCCCCCTCACTGTCACTGGATGTTTCTAGTCTACTCAATTCAGCATAAAATGCTTCTCTTTCATTTTATTCCATGAACTTCCACACTCTCCTTCTTGGATCATTTACCTTCCTTTCTCTGCACTTTTTAAACAACATGTCACACACAAGCAATTTGTGCTCAATTTGTACTGCTAGGCACATTCTTTCCCTACTATAATCTTTACATCCCTAACAAGCTTCCTATATGATTTCCAATATAAACGATATAATGCTGAAGAACTGGACAATTAACTATCTCCCTCCCCAAACTCTGACTCAATGTAAGGGGAGAAATCTGAATAGGATTGGAGCAAACTTTTATTTAGAGATATTTCTGCTACAATCTATGTAGAAGCAGAAACAGAAAATTATATTTCCTTTTATTTTAACCCATGGAAAATCCCTATGCTCCTACAAAGTCCTCCTAAGGGATAGATAATACAAATAATGGAAGCTGGTGGTTGTCTAATATTGTGAGCAGATGTATCACTTGGCTAACTCCCAAAGAAAACATTCATGAGAACAATTCATGAATCAACATCCAGTCAGCCTTAGGATTATCCACCATACGTGGTACAGTTGTCAAGTACGTATTACCAAAAGTATTAACTTCTCCTACAGGAGATGTTCCTGGTATCAAGACATCTGCACAAAAATTTAAGGCAGCTAGAACTAAAGATAGAATTTGGAATCACAGATTGTGGTTCCACCAAGAGTGTGGCAATGATTCATTGTTATTGTTGTCAACCTAAGTGGTGACTGTGCATGTAACCAAGAACCCATTTCAGGGGAAAGTGTAACTAATCAAGGAATTAGTTCCAGATGCCATTATCAAGGGGTTAATTGGTAATTGGATTTTAGCCGCACAGACCTGGTGGAATAATAGGGGAGGAACTTAGAACAGGCACTAGATAATAAAATAAATGAATCATTCATATGGTTCAGACTAATCTTTTCAATGACACAGTGATTCAGATACAGTACATGTCATTAACATGAGAAAATTTAAATTTCTTTTAAATGTGCATTGGTAGGACTGCTGTTGGCAAAAACAATTTTTTCCATTATGTACATACAGTATATGGTTAAAATCTAACATAACAGTGTGAGATAAATCTAAAGTAAAATACTGTAGGAAATGGACAATAGAGGAATTATTAAGAAGTACATGAAAAGACCCACAATGAATACTGTACTATGGAAGACAATAACATTATCACACATACATTGAAGGGCATTGGTGTATACTTACTTGAAAGTTTTAATATAATCTGCCACTTGCTCTGGTGCAGTAATAAATGCAACATAGTCAACAATTCTTCTGTTCACAATGTCACCAAACATTGCTTTCAAAATCTGCCGTAAAAAGAGCATGATGCGTCTTCTAAACCACTGGTCTTTGCTTCTCAGGTCAAATACTTCATCCATCAGAAGTAAAAGAATGCGTAAAGGAATGTTTTCATCACCCTAAAAAGACAATCACACATATAAATATTACCCCTCAAAAGAGAAAAGCAATCAATAACAATAAAAGAATATACAGTACTGTACTTTTAACTCCTTCAAGGTTCTGGCTACTCATCACACTGCCTGATCTAATAGTCTGTGTCACTCTCCCCACTACCTGGTGTATGATGCATATGAACCTAAATCTTACTGAAAACAATGTAAATGCCAACGACAGTAAGTCCTCGCTTAACGTTGTTTCGGTACTACGTCGCTGAACTTTAGAGATAAAAAATTCGTTTAACGTCCCGGTGATCCGATACTACATCACTTTACGTTGTCACGACTATTTTTTACGACACATCACCCATTCTTGTCTGGCCGCGCTACACTCTCTCGGCTCGGCGCGATCCTCACTTGCAGAATGTCACAGCGTCCCCAAGCGACACCAAGCTAGTCTCTGCTACGACTTCACCTCATTCGTGTGTGCTTAAGTGTTTTGCTCTAAAACTGTACTCTAACCATTCGAAATGGCTTCCAAGTGCCCATCAAGTGCTACTGATGCTAGTGAAGAGAAGAGGCAACGTAAGACCATTACCCTTGCTACAAAAATGGATGTATTAACCTGATTTGAAAAAGGGGAACTTGCTGTGGACATAGCTGCTGTGTTAGGTCTAACCCCCACAACAGTGCGTACTATCCGGACCAATGCTGACAAGATTAAGGTTAGTGCTGGAAGTGGTTCTTCTCTGAGTGCTACTAAGAAGACTCATACTAGAAGCACTGTGATAGAGAAGGTGGAAAAGATGCTGGCAATGTGGATGGAGGAAAAGAATCAACCCAATGCCCCTGTGAGCCTTATGGTTATCCAGCATAAGGCCATATCCCTGTTTGACGACTTAAAGGCAGAAGAGGGTGAAGGATCGAAGGAAGAGACCTTTATGGCCAGCCGAGGATGGTTTCAACGACTTAAGCGTTGTTATAACTTCCACAACATAAAGATGACTGGTGAAGCTGCCAGTTAAGATACGGTTGCTGCCGAATCCTCTGGACGACGCCACACTGTTCAGCCGGGTAGTCAACCAGCTGACTCAGAGACGTGATGTCACATTGGTGGGAGGGAACACAGGTGAGTGGACGCAGTTAAGCTCACTGCCTCCACACATACCTTCACCTCCCACACTTGATCACCCATGCTCTTCATTTTTTTATTTTATAATTTTATATTATACAGGATTTTCATTATTTGTCAGCCACAATATATGATTGTAATTTTTTACTCATTTACTCTACATTAGAGAAAACAGTTTTACTAGGGTAGACAAGAATATCCTGAGTGATATAAGTTAGGTGCTTAAAGACATACTTTTGACTTGAATTATAGGTAGCAAAAACAAATATTTTTTTTTATTTTTTAAAATATGCATTACAAAACTTACTCCATATAATTATCAACACCATTTCTGAAAAACTTATAATTTCTAACCCCAAATATCATGGCAAGTACAGTGGAGTCTAAATTTACGCTGTCAATTGAACCCGTGGAGGCCCACATAAAACGAGAAACGCGTAAATGAAATAACAGAACATATGGGATTAATTGAAATAGAGACTGGGCCGACCCCCAAACTACACTTTTTCCGACACAATACGTACGTTGTAGTAAAAATAACATCTTAATTTTATGATGGTATGCACACACAATTAATATTTAAGAGAAATACAGTCGCCGGATAATGTCTGTTCAAATAATGGACTCAACTCTCTTTCCAAGCTCGCTGGCTCCCTCCCCCCCTACCTTCCCGAGAAATGTTTGGGAAAAAGGACTAGGATTACTGGTTTAGTAATAAATAATATCTCAGACTAAAGTTAGGAGAATAGAATTTACATTGCTGGATTCCTTGCAAGACAGTGAATAATTTGAATACCTGTACTCAGATTTTAAATAAAAGAAGTTTCTCTCTATATAAAGATGACTGTTCAGGATATGAAACCTTACATATAAGCAGAACACTGGCCTACCATGTTTGCTACATACCTCTATATCAAAAGATCCTCTATGTGCATAATCAGCATTGGAAACAAGTCTGGGATGTGCTGGTTTCACAAAACGTCTATAAATACCATCAACCATGCCATCTACAGTGTTGAGTACGGTGTCTGGCATTGATCGTACAGCCTTGCTCATGCTGTGTACCCCTAGCCTGAGAGGGGCAACTAAATTGTCCTCAACCTGGTGGAAAAAACAATATACAGTTACAGTATAAGCTAAGAATCAGTTTGATCATAATTGCTTGTCCACCCTGCGCTTTATATTTTTATATACAGTAGAACCTCGATAAATTGGACTAATTGGGGTAGATCCCAGTCCGAAATATGAGAAAGTGCAAAAAAAGCAAATACATGGGGGGGGGGGGGTACACTGCTTATCTGACCTGTTTAAAGAAAATCAGTTATGTTATTACTGAACTTCAACAACTAGGGTCTTTAAGTGTATAACAAGGTTACTAAAGACTATTACAACAACAATAAAAAAAATATAAAACAGACATAAGTCTGGTTGTCAACAACTGGGAAAGGAGTCAGCTCACACATGTTTGTCGTTGTGACCACTGCTCCACTGCACACCGTTTTTTATTGTACAGTGGATGGCAATGTTGTTTATTAATAGTGATGATAATGGTAGTGAACAATATTCAGAGGCAGGGGATGAATTTGAAATAGAAATTTGGGAAACAAAGTGAATATTTGGACACATTTATATACAGTATAGTATAAACCAAATGTGGATGTTAAGAAGTGAACCACACATACACAAATTTGGTTCTAATGAAGTCAACCCGTATTGCCCTGGATATAATGATGCATAATTTTGTATGTACCTTTTTAGCAAGATTTTGAGGTTGTGAGGAGAGATAAGAGGTTTGATCAAGGAAACGCTGGATGGCTTCTTGCAATCCTGGATGAGACTGAAGGTTAGCTGGGGCCATAATTGTTTGCAGCCAGTCATCCAGTTCGGATTTACGTTTCTCCAGAAACCAAGCAGCCAAGTTATTCAGCATTCTCTTACTGGGAAATGATACAGATGACAAGTCCATAAACTGAAATAGAAGATATAAAGTTTACATACATAATGAATGAACAGGATCCTAACACAATTATCCAAAAATAAAGAGGATACAATATGATGGTCGATTAAATTGTCTGATCTCTATTGCCCTTTAACAAATATTTCCTAGTCAATTTTCAGTGAACCCTCTCCAAATCAAACACCAAAGAGATACAGTCATCCCTCAAGATATGGGAGGGTTACGTTATTGAGATGATGTACTTAACTCAAAATCAATTTTCCCCTAGACTTCCATTACAAACGTGGAAATGTGTTCTAAGCACAAAAATTTTACCCCCAAAACATGTTAAATAAATTTTTTTTTTTTTTTTTTACGGGTATTAGCCCACCCGGGCACAGGTCGAAAATGTAATAGTAGTAGTAATAATAATAATAGTAATAATTCATAGTAAATAAAATTTATTAATAATTTATAATTAAGACTTTCAAGCATTCATTATACCTGTGCTGAAATATTATAATTTTTTTAACCATGTAAGGGAAATCCTTGTTTATAGTAAGAGTTCTGTTCCTGAAAATCCTTGTGGAAATCTTATTTTCCCCAAAGAAGCAGTGTATTATGGGAGAGGAGATGTATACCTGGATGGAAAATCTAAGGTACATACTGTAGACCGATTTCACATACAAAAAAAAAAAAAAAAAAAAAAAAATTTAAAACAAATAAAGAACACAAAATGCATATAAAAATATCTTAAATACAATATAAAAAAATGATTCTTGTACATGTTACCCCTCTTATGGCTGTGTGTAACTGAAGTGTCTAAAAGATTCATTAACTCACGACCCAGTACCACCCATCATGGCAGGCCATCACCACGATCTATACCTAGCTTTATTAGTCTTATGACACGAAAACAATAAGCATGTACAAAATGTACGAATGCATTAAAGACTTTTTTTTAAGGGGGATTAGCACACCAGGGCACAGGTCACTGATCCCACATCAGGGCCTGGGGGACAAAAAAAAAAAAATTTAGAACGTCGATTTAAAGCGATTCAATTTAAGATTATATTGTTTTAAAGTGACACCCACAATCAAGGACAATATTTTAATTTAAAGCGAATCTTTCCTAGTTTGCGCGAGTCAATCTGGCTCATCATATTTTAAAATTCGCGCCTAATGTTCTTCTGGGCACACTACACTGTCTGAAGGGCAAAGCTGTACTGTACATGTACTCAAAATAATATACAGGCATCCGCCGCGTTACGGAAGCCCGGGTTACAGTATTTCGCTCTTACGGTATTTGTAAATTATGACCAATGATTTCGCGATACGGCCCGTAAAAATGCGTGGCATCGTCACGAGGAGTCACTCCATTGTTTACATCCAGTGTGCGAGCATGTTTCTTGCCCCAGCAGTTTGATTTAACTTTTACAAACATACAGTAAGTACAGTACAGTGCATTACCCTTATTCAAGATGACTGGAAAGAGGCCATCAAGTGGAAGTGACCGCAGTAGTGCAAAAAGAAGCCGCAAAGGCATTACATTGGATATTAAACTTGATGTGTTACGAAGGTTTGATGCTGGAAAAAAACTTAGCCAGATTGCAAAAACATTAGGTCTTGCTACTTCAACAGTGGGAACAATCCGTGATAATAAGGACAAAATTAGGTCAAGTGCTCAAGCAGCTAGTCCATTAACTGCTCGAACCTTGTATTTTCATCGAAGTGATGTGATGCTAAATATGGAACGACTCCTGAGAGCCTGGATTGAAGATCAGACTAAACGCAATGTGCCACTAAACACTATGGTCATTCAAGAGAAAGCCATAAGTTTGTATAATGATTTGCAGGAAGAGGAAGGGGCATCTTCTGAGGTTAAACCTTTTCTGGCTAGTAAAGGCTGGTTTGAAAGGTTTAAGAAGCGCCTTAATTTACACAACATAAAAATGACAGGTGAAGCTGCCAGTGCTGATACAGATTCTGTTAATCAATATCCTGCTCAGCTGAAGAAAATTATTGATGAAGGAGGTTACACACCAGAACAAGTGTACAATGTTGATGAAACTGGGCTTTTCTGGGAGCGCATGCCTGCTAGAACTTTTATTTCCACTGAAGAAAAATAAGCACCAGGCTTTAAAGCATCCAAAGATCGTTTAGCACTCCGTAACGCGGGGGATGCCTGTACTAAATGATCACTAAAAGTTTTGTCTAGTGCAAACTATAGCATGATTATATTGAAATTAATCACTATCTTAAAAGAATTCCAGCAATGTAAATTATATTCTCACCTGTTACTTCTGTGACATTTTATAAACAAAAAACAAAAACTCAATCTAAAAAACATAAATAAACAAATAAATACTTCATCAGACCTTTGGGCCAACTGTGTCACTGTCACCCCCCCCCCCATCTTCCCAGCCAGGGTTGGGTGGTTATAGGCTTACAGTTTTTATCTTATATAATATCAGTCTAAAGTTAGAATATAATTTGCATTGCTAGAATCCTTGCAAGACAGTAAATAATTTGAATATAAACGTCATATATTTTACACAGGAGATAATTTTTTTTAGTCCTTTGTAATAAAATTAATTAAAACATGTCAGTTCAGTGACAGTTTACAAGAGAAAAACTTAAAGTCATTCTTAAGGACAGATAAATAAATAAGCACTAGACCTTGGCATCAACTGTCAAACATATCACCACACCTCTCCCCCCACCATCTTCCCATCAGCTGATCTCTAGTAAACAGACAATTTCACGTCCCATAATTTTTGCTGTGTTGATTTATGAGTGTTTGTTTTAACATAATACTACAAAAAACAATGTTTTGTGTATTCTAGGAGATGGGCTGAGGTGCACCTGGGTAGACTCTCAGTCTTTTTAGTATTTTGTGTTTCTCTCAAGTACCAAACTAAATTATTCCATTGAAACAACACTTCGATTTAGTGCGAATCCGGTTTAAAGCGATCTCTCTTGGAACGTATCTCGTGTTATATCGACGTTCTACTGTATAAATAAATACAAAAATTATCAAAATAAAAATGATCAAGAGTGAGAAACAATAAATATGTTGTGTTGTCAAAGTAAGAGAAACAAGTGAGACCCTGCAATTGTGTGTACTGTATATGAGGCAGAAAGTTCATTCAGCAACCTGGGATTTGGTCTAAATTTTTTTGATGCCATATGGCAGCAGGGTCTACCATCAGACAATACATTGTGATTCTAATATCTTTCCAGGCAGTAGTATCTCCCTGTTTGATAGCTGCATACATATATTACCCACAGGCAGCCCTCATTATATAAAAGGAATGCATTCCCTAAACGTGGTCTGTAAAGCAAAAATTTGTACAGTGGGGTATGCTACAACGAACGGATTCTACTACGAATATTCCTATAACGAACGGTTTTACCTATAAAATTGAGAATGCTATAACGAACGAAACTCCTACAACGAACATTATTTAATTTTTTTTTTTCTAATTTATTGTTTTTTTATTACAAATATTAATGATATTCTTTATTTCAGGGGTTTAGATGCATCTTTATGCACTTTTTTACAATTTTTACAATTTTATATTATATTTTTCAGTGTTAAGTGGTTGTATTTGGGGGCCTGGAACGGATTAATCCTATAACGAACGAATGCTATAACGAACAAGGTTCTAGAACCAATTAGATTCGTTATAGCATACCCCACTGTATAATGAAAGCAATTTTCTCATACAGTGTTATAATTAGAGGATGCAATCCTTGGGTGTGATTTTCACAGATGTGATGTAACTATAACTAACCAAACTAAATGCAAAAGATATTTTGGGCATTTTTTATTGTAACTTAAAAATTCAGGCAATTTTATGTCGGCCTCCCCAAAATGATTCAGTGCCAAACATTCATGGTAGCAGCTCAGCCAGGGACCACAAAACAAAAAACACATGATAACCAATGAAGCATAAGCAGTCTATAAAAATTTTATGAAAAAAAAAATAGAAAAAAAAAAAAAGGTGCACAAGTAAGGTATATCATTCATTCAATAATGCTAAGAGATATTATTGATAGGTGATTATGTGGGGAAGGCAGTGCTAGTTTCGATGTACTGCTGATTGTATTTGACTACTCGTGCTGATGATGGTGCTATATTGATGGTGGAAATAAATACGGAAATACAGTGCTGACATTATGACGTAGTGCCGGAGTGCACTGCTCCCACATAAGGTGGTAATGGTGCTGAATTGGGTGCAAGTTTGATGAAGAGAGTGCTGATGGAGTGATAACTGTGATGCTGTGTTGGAATCCACAATCAAATTTGTGAGTGCTGGTGTTAGTTTAGTGCTAGTTTGATTAATGGAGTGCTGCCTGTAGCTGTGCTGGTGGTGTTAATTTGGTAAAGGAGATGCTGCTGCTAGTGGTTCTAGACTTGGTGAAGTGAAAGGAATGATGGTGTCTGGGGGTGCTAGTTTGATGAAGAAAGCTAGTGCTGGTCGACTGTTCGTGCTACTTTGGTGAATGGAGTGCGTCAGGTTTGTTGGTGTACTACTTTTGGTGAAGGGATTGTTGATGTTATTTTTTAATAAAATTGTCTGGTGTTAACTAGAGTGTGATATGACAGAGTATGGTGGAAGAGAGAAATAGAAATGCATGGGTGGTGTGTTACAGTGCATGTGTCTACTTTAAGCTATCTTTATCAGGAAACAAAGTACAGCTGAAATCTTTTATTTTTCTCAACATAGTTTTAATGGAATTCCTTTACATGCTAATTTCTACTCTGTAACCACGACAACTAAATGAAGGTAAATTTTTATGTGCATTTTATATTTCTTTATTACGATGACCTAATAGTATAAAAGACAATGCTTTTCTCATGCCTTTTAGAATGTATTTCTTGTCAAAGGTCTCTAAACAGGTTGAAAAGCTTATAACTTACATTTCTAAGCTTACCTTTGATGTAACTGATAAGTGAAAGTCGTAAAACTCAGAATAGCGTCTAAACACATGCCACAGTTCTTCCTGTCCCGATACATCTCTGCGCATTACACTCACAATGTAGATGGCATGTGATTTGCTTCCTTCACGAACAATTTCTAGAGCAGGAACAGATAAGTATTTGATTCGATTAATAAGGAATGAAATATTGATTACTTTAGACTGGATGGCACTATTTATCCATGAAAGTTATACTCTGGGCACTGACTAAGCCATCACTGCTGAATTTGTACAGGTACTAATGTCATACTGAAATTATATTGATTTGAGAGGAATTGATAAAATATTAACCAAATCTGAATACCGTATGCCATAAAAAAAAAGAAGGAAACCTTGGGTAAATAAATTTATGGGTTCTCTGTCATATATCTCAAACTGGTACAACACTAGTCATACTGCATCCAAATTATCTGTATTTCACTGTTTCTAAGTGGTGGTTTTGAGGCTGCTAGCTGAACAATACTTTCAATTTCATATTTCACTACAGAAATCCCGTGTTTTTTGCGGGTTTTTTTTATCACGGTTTTGACCATTCGCCTCAGACACCCGCTGCTCCGAGAAGCCTCAGTCCACACGTGCCCACTGTACTGTGAACACTACTTCACATGGCTCCCGAACGTGAGCCAGCCTCATCAAAGGCAAATATACTAGCAAAAAACACGGGATTACTGTACTAGTTAATTTAATTTAGTGTATTTCCATTCTAAATACTCACTAAGTTATGTCATTACATTCATCCAGTGAGCACTAGCGCTAAACAACTTTGGTCAAACTATAACACAATCAACCAAGTACAGGTAACCCCTGAGATATGATATCCCGAGATGTGATATTTCATTTTAACGATGGCTATAAATTAATACCATCTCGCTATATACAAACAAAACAACTCACTTTAATGATATCCATCGAACAGCCATTGGTATCCATTGGTTGGATTTTTTTCCTCTAGTGCAAACTATGGGTTGTTTATACAGCATGCCCTTCAAATTTGCAGATTTTTAATTTGCGGATCAAGATTATTCGCGGATGACACCCCGGATGTACCCATGAATGTCTGTGGGCCGTTTTAAAGTTGCTGGCATTTTCGCAGCCGGGAGAGGGAGCCGCTCGTTCTAGAGACAGTACAGTGGTCCCTCGGTTAACGAACATTTCGTTAACTGAATCTATTATTTCAATGGGATATTGGGTAATTGGTTCCAACTCACAGAAAAAGTACATACAAAGTACTGTATACCAGTAATAGAATTAACAAAACACTAAATTTAAACTAAATACAGTACTGTACTGTACAGTATACTGCATAATAATAAATACAAAACAATAGAATACTATATTTTAACTTACTCTGAGGTGTGTATGTCGTATTCCTGGCAGCTTTGTTTACATATCAAACAGCTGATTGTAGAGGGAGTTGATAATGACATGCCATATTCTTTACAGAGTGCATTGGATCTAATGCCTTCTTCATGTTTCATAATTTCTGCACTATATGTTATCAATATGTGAACTAAATTTCAGAATGACCAATAATTTTAATGTAAAACTGCAAAAATATTCAAGAGACCAACAAACTGAATGTTCACTCCACTGTAAACAAAGTTAAACTAACAAGCATTGGTGGGTGATTCGATCAGATGATTGGTGCACACAAACTTTTCCCTGTACTGTATATATTATCAATATGTTAACTAAATTAGAATGACCAATAATTTTAATATAAAAAATGCAAAAATATTCAACAGCACAACCTTCTTGATATTTACTCCACTGGAAACGAATGTAAACATAGAACCAACAACTGTATTGGCGGACTAGCCGATCAGCTGATGCGCACAACAAAGAGTGTTTCTCGTAAGGCTTTCGTAAATCAAAGTTTTGTTTGTTAATGGAATTTAAAATCCTTATGGGAGCTAATTCGTGAACCGAAATTTTGTTAATTGGACTGTTCGTTAATCGAGGGACCACTGTAATTTCCTTTACCTGTACATATATATGTATGTGTGTGTGTGTGTGTGTAGACACACAAAACACATACAAATAAACAATAATGGGAAAATCCTCTCACAAATAATCAGAAACAAATGTATTAAAAATGATGAGCCTACCCTCCAGTCTACTCCATGCTTTATTAATAACAAAGGACAGAGTAGACTTGAGGGAAGACTCAACATTTTTAATACATTTGTTTCTGATTATTTGCAGGGAGGTAATTAGTAGGTCAGGCTCTGAGCGTCTCGCGGGAGAGCATCTACTCATACCCAAAAGTGTTAATATAAGATCTTGCAATGGCAGTTTCTCTTACTGAAACCAAAGTATTATTTCAATTAAGAACCAACCAAAAATCCATCAAAACAACAGACTTCCTTATTTAAGATGCAGCTCACAGCTAGGGCCAGGGATTCGCAAAGTGGGGGGCGACCTTAACTTAGGCCAAAAGATGATCATAGCTTACCAGGCTATAATATTATTCCATATTGTTTACTAAGCATTACATTGAAAAATCATGTTCTAATATTATTAGAACTACCTTGTTCTATCACTTAACTCATCAACAAAACGTTACTGCATAATGTCATTTTTAAAATGTCCCTGCCTGCAGCAGTCATAAAGAGAAGTAAGTAAAATATACAATGTTCACCTGTGTCAATAATCTTAGCAGTAAAGTGTAGGACTTAGATGTCAAACTGGGGAGAGTGTGACTGGGAGATGGATGGAGTGATCCTCCTGGCTGAGGAGACTGTGCTCGAGAAGATCCTCTGGAAACACTCTGAAATATAAGCAATATCATCTTTATCCAATTAAATTAAGAAAATATACCAGTAAGATAAAAGTTGTCAAGCACAATGAGTTACGTATTAAAACATCCTTCCAGCCTACATAGGGTGAGGACTTGTGAAGTGGTGCCCGTGGTCTCTTGACCATGGGAGACCAGCTACCAAGCAGCTATCGGGGCCCTTCCATCTCCTCCCTCCCCATCTGGATTTATCATCCTCCCCACCAACAGTACAGTGCAAGATTGATGATCAACCCCACAACTGATATACAAAAAAGTGACAATTCAACTTTCAAGAAAGTAAGAAACAACTGTTAGAAGCGACAATCAGTACTTAGCGGCCAATGTTGACCCTGTGACACCTTGACCTTGCACCAGCCAGGTACACTCGCCATCCCCAGCACTGGGACGAAGCCAACACTCCAAACTCCAAACTACCAGGAAAGAAATGAGGACTCCTACTCCACCCAGGTGAACTGAATTCTAACTACATCATATGAGGAACAAGAACCATCTCCAACACCTGGCAGAGCTGGAGACCTACCCGGACCACGTGGTACATCTGCAGCTGTAGTGAGGTAGGACCCGTAGCAGTCAGGTACAACGGCCACACGTCAGACAGGGAAGGACTTTTGTTGGAGTGCGACATCAGGTCACAAGAATGTCTACAGACCAGCTCCACAGTACCAGATCTAAAGTTAATCTATATCTCGTCTATCTATGTTTGCTTATGTTTCTGTTGAAAGTTTTATCAATCGTGATTATCCGATTTCATATGTAACTTATCATCTCTGTTCATTGTATATTTTCAGCCTTCGCGGGCTATGTTTTCTATAATAAACGTTAATTATTATTATTATTATTATTATTATTATTATTATTATTATTATTATTATTATTATTATTATTATTATTATTATTATTATTATTCTAAATCAACATCTGTGACTGTGGATTTATCTGAGGCAGCAGCGAAACACCATTTTTCCGCTGCGGTGCTTCTAGCACCTTCTTTTTCTGCTCCAGTGTAATTGCTTGCCTTGATTTCTTGGTCTTTGGGGTAGTTAATGATGATGTGTAGTAGCTGGGCTCTTGGACATAGTGGTGATGGTTGATGTACGTGGTAGAAGGAGATAATGTCACACAGTATGTCCGTTCACTCAGGCGTCAGTGAAAGAACTGAGGATGTGGGAGGGTGTGAGAGGGTGGTGGGCAGCTGTGTAGCATGCCCAAAGAGGCGTCTGGTGGGAAACATTAGGCGCAAAATTTAAAATAGGACATGCCAGATTGACTCGCGCAAAATAGGAAAGATTCACTCGAAATTAAAATATTGTCCTTAATGCTTAATTTTCTGTATAGTATGTAACATTTTTCATGGGGCAAAGGAGTTCAGGAACGTAACTCCTGTATTTTATCTGTTTCTTATGGGGAAAATTGATCCACTTAACGTTGTTTCACTTAACGTCGCGTTTTCAGGAACGTAACCCCAATGTTAAGCGAGGACTTACTGTATGTTGTGTTGTCAAAGTAAGAGAAACAATTGGGGAAACCCTTCAATTAAATAAATGGGCAGAAAGTCAGATCTTGGCAGGACTTGGTTTTTGATACCAATATCTGGCAGGGTCTACCATTAGACAACACATTATGCTTCAATATCTTCCCAGGCAGTAGTACCTCCCTGTTTGATAGCTGCCTACTACCTACTACCCCTCCTAAAAATCATTAAAAAAAAAAAACTCTTACTTTAAGATAGTTGTCATTTGAATGAGCTGAGTGACTTGATGCAACAGAAAGAGCATCTCCTGACAAACCACTGCTTGATGCTACTTGGTTTGATCCATCAACTTCTTCACCCTGGAAGAAAAATTATTCCGAGAATGAATCAGTTATTTTAGAGTAATATTCATAAGTATGAGTTAAAGATATTAGTTTAATATTGTTCAAAACTTGTATCAATGCAAAATATATTGTAAGGCAGAAAGCTAATTTGTACAGTAATAAGTGTTTTTGTTTTGTGTGTTTTGTTTTTATGCAAAAAATATTATCATATATGCACAGACCAGTCGGCTATAGACTTCTACAGTATAAGGATTCTCTAAGACATATTTTAAGGGATTACCTTTATACCGACATATTATACAGAAGGCAAGTTATTTTATATACTGTATGTACCTCTCAGCCATGTTTCAAGCAATATCAAAGTCTACAACAAAAGAGGATTTCCGTGCATAAAATTATTCTTAAGTGATGCCACTGGCAAAGTTTTGAGTGTATGTGGCTTGTATCAAGTTGAAGGCAAAATCATGATATAATCAAGGTTAATTCCCTCAGTTCTCTTGCTGTAGTTTTGTGCTACCTTGATTTGAACAACAAAAATAAATGAAAGGGGTTAAGTAAAGTACATCATAAAAATTATATGAATACAGCTATTGGCTCGCCAAATGTTTGAAGCAAAAACGTAAAACATTTGAAAAAAAAAATATTATTCACTTCAAATTCATTATCTCCTCATCTGCAGACTTCTGGTATGAATAATCTGAATGCTTAAAATTTTGGAAAAAATAAAAATAAATTAAATAAAAAATAAATAAAATAAAATCATAAACCAGTTTTTCAGAAATTAAATATTTGCCAAGAATCCCCCAAAAATTTAAGCCATTGATGTATTATTAACATATGAAACACTAACATCTGCATCACCTACCATCTACACCACCTACCATCTACACCACCTACCATCTACACCACCTACCATCTACCACCTACCATCACACACCACCTACCTATCTACACAACACCTCACCAACCATCTACACCACATCCACACCACCTACCACCCACCATCTACAAACTACCATCTACCACTACCATCACCACCACCATCTCTACCCACCTACCAATCCACCCACACCACCTACTATCTGCACCAACCACCATCCACACACCTACACCTACATCTACCATCTACCATCTCACCACCATCCACACCACCTACCATCCACTGTACACCATCTGTACACCACCTGTCTACACCAACTACCATCTACACCACCATCTACACCATCACCCTTGCCACCTACCATCTACACCAGCTTCCACACCTACCATCTACACCCACCACCATACTATCTCTGCACCACCTCTGTCTACACCACCATCTACACCTTTACCATCTACACCTACCATCTACACCAACATACCACCTACATCTACCACCACCTACTACTCTACATCTCACCACCTCCACACACCTACCATCTGCACACCTACCATCTGCCACCATCTACACCTGCATCTACACCTACCATCTACTCTTACCACCTACGCTATGTCTACACCAACACCATCACCACCACCATCTACACCTGTCTACACCTACCATCTACACCACCCAAATCACCAACCATTACCACCTACCACCTACCATCTACACCAACTACCATCTAACTACCATCTACACCATCTGCCACCACCTGCCTCACCACCACCTGCCATCTACACCATCTTGCCACTGCAAACATCCATCTGCACCATCTACACCACCTGCCATAGTCCCAGCTTCTACCATCTATCTACACCACCAACCAACTACCATCTACTTCACACCTACACCATGTACCCACCCACACCACCATCCACAACACCATCTACCACCACCAATTACACCTACCACCTACCATCTACCTACATCACACAATTACCTATATCTACCATCTGCACTTCACCAACACCAACTACCACACCACCTCCATCTACCCTTGCCTGCAGACTAAACCACCTACCATCTACACCAACCCCCATATACACCACCTACCATCTACATCACCTACCATCTACACCAACTACCATATTCACCACCTACCATCTACATCACCTACCATCTACACCACTTACCATCTACACCAACTACCATATTCACCACCTACCATCCGCATTACCTACCATCTGCATCACCTATCAAATGAAACATTAACCATTTGAACTATCATCCATATACATTGCCAAACACGTGTACCATCAACCACCTGTACCCCTAACCATATGTGCTGTCAATCACTTGCCTGTCAAACTAGTTATTAGTCTTCTAAAGATTTCATAGCTTTTATTTTTCTTCTAAATACATAACGTATTACAGCAGTAAGAATGAATGAATTTCAGTAAATAGAAGCCTTGGAAGAGTGGAAAAATAAAAACTATTTCATTTGTACTGTATATTTATGCCAATATTGTACAAAGAATTCTTGAGCATATGTTAATATTGTTGTTACTGGCCGTTCAGTTTTTGAAGATACACAAGTATCACTAAATTAATAATTGAGGAAAATTCTACCTAATCTGAATGTGGAAATGCAATGTATGATACTAAAAATGTGCTATATCCCAAAAGCTTTTTCTCTGTAAGAATAATAGTGAAAATTTACATTATCATATCAAGACTTACATGTTCCAGTGAGTTAAAGCTGATATCATCTAGGGATTGACAATCTTCCTCATCAGATCTTGAAGCATCTTTCAGCAGGTCTAATTCTGCCAAAAGTCTAATATACCACATAGATCTGGAAATCAATATAAATTGGTTACAAGGTTTATTAGCTGAATAATGGAAATGGTGAGTAGAGAGAGGCTGATAGAAATGTAAGATGAGAAAGGGTTGATAGTGGTGAAAATATGGATTAAAAAGAAGCAAATTAATAAAAAATTCATAGATGCATAACAACTGAAAAGAAGGTTGTTCAAAATTGTGCTGGAGGACAAAAAATATAAATGTAAATTGAATGATGTACAGTAGATACAGTGGAGTCACAATTATTTGCAGGTTAGGTACAGGACTGTCTTGCCTAACTCACATCCATCAAATATCATCCAGCTTATGTGTCATCAGAGATGTACTGTAATTACTACAATCTATCAATCATCCAACATGTAGTCCCCATTTGACGATCATCTATGTACAGTATATATATTTTTTTATATAGCGTCATTGTACACTCACT